AATAATATGATATCGAAAATGTATTTAATGTTATTTTTAACATCAATCGATAGTTAAATATATTGACCATGAGAGTCTCATATATTCTTTATTGCCATTCGTTTGCAAACTGCTACGACAGAGGGAACCTTTGCATGCAAGCGATTTATTCTCAATATTAAGGCATACTATTTTATTTAAAATTGTAATTACTATTTTAAGATAATCATAAAAATATGAATAAAAATATGTAATATAGTTCGAAAATTTATGTGAATTCCAACATAACTTTTTATTATTTATTAATACGAATGTAAAAATATAAAACAATTTAATTTTATAAAATTTATTATATTTAAATGTAAAAATAATAAACATATTATTACTTATATTTTTAACATTTTTATTTGCATGCAGCATTTTTAATATGTCAATGTAATTTTTTCTTCTTTTTAATCAAATATATCAAAATGAAATAAATTTTATGAAATATTACGTAAATGCAAAAAGGAGAAAAAATTTTATTGTTATCATTACTTTATTCTTTGTCTATTAAAGCACTTATGCGGATAGAATTGCAAATTATATCAGTATTTCTGTAGAGAACACCTCTTCCACTTTAACCTTGATATATGTTATAGAGGAGAAGATACTGATCAATTTTTCCTTATTAAATTAATCTCTTATAATTTTCGAGATATATTTATAAAATTCATTTTCAAAATTTCATTATTTTCTGCATATACCGCAGGACTTTCCACGCAAAGCAATTCTCACCCCATCTCCTCCTATTTTTTTAATTATAAAATTGAAATTACGGAGATAGCCAAGTTTTAAAATGAGAGGCTTTATATAATAATGTACATTACACTCACTCACTGCATTTTTTCATGTTCTTCTACACATAGATATAAGTTCTAAAAATAAAATAAAATGTCAGTAAATATAAATATTAGAGGCACACGATTTCCACGCGAAGCGAGTTTCATCCTATCTCTTCAGAGCGTCCAACTTTCATTTCCCTTGACAGAAAGGAGTCATTTAAGAAGTCATTTAAAACGAAGATCTAAATATCTTAAATATATAAATAGATATATACTAAGAGACAGTTTAATTTATAAGGAAAAATTGATCAATACTTTCGCTTTTATAACATATGTCAAGATCAAGATCATCGAACAGGTTCCTTAATGTAAAGGTTTACCTTTTTCTTATTTTCTAAATTCTTTGGAGTAGAATTCCATTCTAAAAAATGAAAATTGAGCCTTTAAATTGAGTCTTTAAAAAGATTGTTTTCGAATGATTCGATTTTTAAGAGTGAGATTTCATTCTTCAAATTGAGATAAATAGATTCACTCGAAGAATTTCAGAGAATATGTATACAACAACTACTTACACAGCAGTGAATACTTTTATTATCACCCTAATACTTCACATATGTATTCAAGTAGCACACAATGATTATAAAGCATTAAAAAAGTGCTAAAAAGTGTATAAAAGTATTTTTTAACGCTTTGCAGGCTCTGCTGTGGTATTTAGATAATCATATGAAAAGAATAAATTTTACTGAAGTATCTAAAAATTTAGCAAGATAATAGGCTAAAAATAATTTTATTGAGCTATCAAAATAATTATGTAGGAAACTCAGTATTTATTAATATGATAAATAATATTGCAAAAAGTTTTAATTCTAGCAATCCGTTTTAGCGTCTTACCTTAGACAACAAAGTTCAAAATCGAGATGTAAAACGTTTCGAAAATGTCTTTTAGACATTTTTAAGATGTCTTTTAGACATTTTTAAGATGTCTTTTAGACATTTTTAAGATGTCTTTTAAAATATGTCTTTAAGACATCTTAAAGTAGGTGTCTTTAAAATCCAATCGCACTAACGTTACTTTGACTTTAAGTGAGGCTTAAAATTCTAGTTTACTTTTTTTTCTTTAAAGCCGAAAAAATGAGAAAGATAGAGAGAGTTTTAAGCTTCGCTTAAAATCAAAATAACATTGGTACAATCTAAGACTTCTTGTCTCGTTTTTGAATAACACGTGACGTAATTATTTTGATAAGCCAACAAAATTATTTTCAGATCTGTGTCTAGCTAAATTTTTAGATACTTTTTCAAAATAGTTCTTTTCATGTAATTTTTGAATCTATGTTGCGAACTGACAAATCCTTGCATGGAAGACGCGGAAGAGGTGGAATTCCAGAAGTGAGAAAATATCGTGAGAATACATGAATATTTCAACAGGTGAGATCAGTCAAGCAAGAAGTAACATAGAAAGCTCGAAATAAACAATTATTATGCATTACTGAGAAATTACTCGAAATTTTCAGCAAATAATTAATCCTATTTCTAATATTCTGTTTAAGCAAGTGAGTCATAATTAATTATTTCAAAAGATTTTAGAAATGTTACGAAAATATAAATCGCGAAAAATAAAAATAAAAACGTAATTTATAAAAGGAATTTCACGCTTGTCTTGACAGTGCTGTTTTCCATAAGATTTCCAGAAACGATTGAAGATTCTTTCATGATTCAACATAATGCATTCTGAGACAGATGCTTGTTACAACTTTATTTTCAGTATTTACAGGTATTCGTGTAAACTACGAAGAAAGGAGAGATATAATCTGTAAAAATAAAAAAAAAACGGAAAAAGGAAAATAAATCAGGAATATCGTTACGACTTCTCATTTGTAGTCAATTCAAAAGGACAAAGTATTCATCATCAAATTTGTTTTCCTGCTGATTTATGTGATTTATATATTGCTATAATTATATGTGTACTGTTAACATTGGTGAAAAACTACTTATCAAGGTAATACAATGAATATCTTATTGATTGATATATTGCCATAAATTCCGATTTTAATATAGTGATACTATATTGCCGAAAGTATATATATATATATATATATATATATATATCTTGGATTACATTTTCAAGAATTAGATTTAATTTTCAGCAAATATATAAACATTGGTAATTTATTGATTTAATTATTGACATAATCCCAATATTTTAATATAATAATACTATATTGTCGAAATTATATATATTATGTATTATATAATACATATGTATATCTTGGATTATATTTTCAAAAACAAATTTAAATTATGCAAATATAAATATCGATAATTTATTAATTTACTTATTGATTAAAATTCCAATATTTTGATATATCGATACATCGATATTGAAACTATCGATCTTGCATCATATTACAAGAACAAGATTAAATTTTGATACAAATATAAATATTGTTCACAGAAAGTTCAAAAAGACTTCAGTTGCATGTCATAAATTTTAAGTTTGTTTTCAAGTACAAAAAAAATTTTTTTAGAACTTTTCAGAAAAAGAATTCTTTTTGTATCTGAAAATAAACTCAAAATTAATGACATACAACTAAATTCTTTCTAAATTTTTTTTAAAACTGCTATGTGGATAATTTATAGTTCTATTTATTGACTTAAATCCTAATAATGTATCGTAATGTATCGATACATTACCAAAACTACGTATTAGATCATAATTCCAAGCACAAGATTAAATTTTCAGATAAATATGAATTCTAGTAACTTATTGATTAATTTATTGACAAAAATCTTATATTCCGATATATCGATGCCATTTGATATATAGTTGAAACTAGGTATATTTTGGATTATATTTCTAAGGATAAGATTCAATTTTCAAATATGAAATTTATTTTATATCAGTGAATATTATTATCTTAATCAACCAATAAAATATGTTGTTAGTTTAATAGACGAATTAGATATTAAAATTCTCTAATGTTAAACAGTATCCTAGAAAGCAAATTTATTTGCTTTGTTACGTTGATGATTATGTATTTCAGAATTGTGTAGTCATTAACTATGGTACACGCTTTCGTGTTAAGGCAATCTGCATGACGCCTTGAGTGTTAATAAGCGAGACCAAAATACATGTTTTTTTCATATAATATTCTTGTTTCTTCTTTATAGTAATTTTCTTTTTAGATAATAATTAATTAATTATTTTCCTCAAATGTATTAAAAAAGATAAAATCAATCTATGTCATGATGTTATATAACAGATCAAAAGATCAAATTCTCTTCAAAATGCCATATTATAGACTTCGAAGATCTTATTACGCTGACTAACAGAATGCCATTAACAGAATTTTCGTGTCAGGTTTTTGGGTAAATTAAGATAAAATGACATTTTTAACACTTTTTATTGCAAAACAAAACCTCGTTTCCAAATAAAATCTACGATACCTAAATTAAAAAAAAAATGTATTTGAAAGAAATCTTAAATTGTATTTTTTTAGGACATTAAATTGTACTAAAATTTATTTAAAAATTTACTCAAAATCCTGTTATGTTACTCAAATTCTATGTCATCGTATTCAGCAAAAAAATATTCGAAGTATACACTATATAACACTTTGGAGAAAATTTGTTTGCGTTACAAAGCTTCTGATTGCAGTTTCATATTTAGTATCGTATCCTCATTTTGCAGTTAGTTACAGTTCTATGACTCATGTTTCTCTTGGAATCTTTTGAATCTGACATTCCAGAGTACGAAAATAACATACGTG